TTACAACTTAAACTCCCTGTTAGCAAATAAGCTTTGTTATCCTAACGACGTAGTGTTTAGGCTTAACAACGTGAAAAAACAAAAAATTTATGTTTGACAGGCTTATAACGTAATACTTGAGTAATAGTCATTCGAAATTCACCCATCTCTTCCCAAATTCGCCACGTATTAGTATGCTTTCCAGGAGAATAACTTGTTCTGCGGCTTCCATCTTTATCAAGTTCATGAGCAGTATATTGATGTGACCACAAATCTCTGGTAGTACCACAACCACAATGATTACATCCCACTCATCTGATATTGATTTAACACTGTCAACATATTTTATATTGCCATTTGCTTGAGCTACGATTTTGGAGACTATTCCAAACTCTCCGTTAAATTGTCCACCAACACTTGATTCATGAACTGTTGAGAGTTCAACATTGCGATTTAAATTTTGTGGAAAGGCAGCACCTATCGTTGTGAATAAGCTCTTCATATTATTATTAGGTGTACATGCAATCGGAGAGACACAGATTTCAATAGAATCAATAAAATAGCCATAACCATGCTTTTTAAATAACGGTGAATTAGTTCTACTAAGCATATTTCCTGTTTTGCAATCAAGCACATCAACTTCAAATTCTAGAATATTAGATGATGTAATTTCTGCCCAAATACGAGCAGTTATAGTAAATTTTTGAAAAATCACTGGATCAACAGAATCTACCGTAACAATCGCTTCAGACGAGAAAAAAATTCCATTAGCAATGATATCTTTTCTATTGTTATTACCATCACCATCATCATCACCACCACCATTACCGATGCTATTTTTATTACCGCTATTACTATTGCTATTACTACTTTCATCATTACCATCATTATTACCGTTATTACTATTTCCATTACCATTATCATAATTATTACCGTTATTAACACTATTGTTATTATTACCGCTACCGCTATACTTATTATTATGCTCATTACCATTATTATCATTACCTTCATTATCATTATTATTTAGATTCTGATCATTATTATCTTCACTATCTTCAAGTATTACTTGGTAAATAGCTTCGTATTGTTCCTCAAATAAGGTTTCAAGACATTCCAGAATGTGAATTCCAAGAGGTTTATCAACCCAACAGGCAATGCACGGCCTGGTAGAATCTTTTTGGAAGTCAATTCCTATAGCATAAACAGGCTGTGATTCTCATATATGATCAATATCATTTTTTCGACTGATAAGTAATTTCTGCAATTTTTTGACCTCAATATATGAAGTAGAAGTGATTCCAGAAGTAACAGTTGATTTTACTGAAATGAAACCTAACATAATTTCATAATTTGTATTATTCCAAATATTTGACTTATCATTACTAATAATATGAACTGTTGGATTATTTAATTGAATGCAATTAAATAAGTTATCATCATCTTCAGCTGTTTCGCTTGTTTTTTTCTCCATAGATTCTACATTTCAATATATTGGAAATTAATAATAAGCAAATACGTTGATTTAGAATATTAAAAAATTAATTCTTACACACCAATTAATTCATCATTTCTAATAAAAAACGAGTTATGTTGTCCAGCTAATGTTTTAGAGCAATAAATATTTGTTAACGAGTTGGGTATATTTAGTAAGCTAGTTATTTTAGTCTGATAATAATTGAGTTCCATTAAGGAGTTGGGTAATGTTGGTAGGATATTCATTGGGGTATAAGAGCAATTTAGTTTCTTTAAGGAGTTGGGTAATGTTGGTAGGATAGTTATTGAAGTACTATTACAATTAAGAACAGTCAAGGAGTTGGGTAAATTTGGCAAGCTATTTATGTTAGTCCAAAAACATCTGAATACCGTTAAGGAGTTGGGTAATGTTGGTAGGATAGTTATTGGAGTTTCAGAGCAATTTAGTTCCGTTAAGGAGTTGAGTAATGTTGGTAAGCTATATATTTTGGTTTCATGACATAATAGTATTTTTAAAGAATTAGGTAAAGTTGGTATGATAATTATTGGAGTATCAAAGCAATAAAGTTTCTTTAAGGAGATGGGTAAAGTTGGTAGGATAGTTATTAGAGTATTAGAGCAATTAAGTTTCGTTAAGGAGTTGGGTAATGTTGGTAGGATAGTTATTGGATTAGAAGAGCAATAGAGTTCCATTAAGGAGTTGGGTAATGTTGGTAAGCTATTTATTCTAGTACTACTACAATAAAGTTTCGTTAAGGAGTTGAGTAATGTTGGTAGGGTAGTTATTGGAGTATCAAAGCAATATAGTTCCGTTAAAGAGTTGGGTAATGTTGGTAAACTGGTTATCTGAGTATTATTACAGCAGAGTACTTTTAATTTCCGATATCTTTGCAATCCTCCCAAGTCGTTTAATATGTCATCCTTATTAAAGTCTGTAATCATTAAACTTTCAATATTATCTTCGTAAATAATATCTGATACTTCAATATTTGATTCTAATTTGTCTACATACTTCTGACCAGCCAAATGAATTTGATCTTTTAACTGATCAAATCGAAAAATTTGTGATGAATTATTTATATTAGAAAAAGCTTCGATGTTATCCAAACGACTTTGTTGTTGAAGATTTGATTCATCATTTTTTGTTTGATTATTTTCTGTTATGATGTTAGTTATCGTAACAATTGCATTTAATCTATCAACTACTTGATTCATTGATGGACGATTATCCGGTTCATTATCCCAGCACTCTGAAATTAGATATAAAATTTAATA